ACTAGTTGTAAGGATGCTCAATAAACTTAGTGAGAACCTCAACAGCATAAAAAAGAACAGGTCAGAAATGAAGGATACACTAACTGAAATGGAGAATAATTTACAAGGAATCAACAGGAGAGTAGATGAAGCTGAGAATCAAATCAGCAATTTGGAATATAAGGAAGCAAAAAACAAAACAAAACAAAAAACCCACCCAATAAGAACAGCAAAAATAAAAAAGAATCTTAAAAAAATGAGGATAGTGTAAGGAGTCTTTGGGACAACTTCAGGCATACCAATGTTTGCTTTATAGGGGTGTCAGAAAAAAAAAGAGAGAGAACGCAAGAAATTGAAAACCTTTTAAAAAAATAATGATGGAAAACTTCCCTAACTTTGTGAAGGAAATATACATACTCATATATGAACTCAAAGAAGTCTACACCAAGAAACATCATAATTAAAATGCAAAAGATTATAGACAAGAGTGAAAAGCAGTTAGTTACATATGACTGCCAACTGATTTCTCAACAGAAACTTTGCAGGCCAGAAGGGAGTGGTGAGAAATATTCAAAGTGATGAAAAGCAAGGACCTCCAACTATGATTACTCTACCCAGCAGAGGTATAATTTAGAATCAAAGTACAGTAAAAGAGCTTCCCAGACAAGCAAAAGTTAAAGGAGTTCATCACTACCAAACCAGGTTTGAAAGGAATTTTAGGGATAAAACAGGCAGGTTTAGGGGATCTTAGGAATAAAGAGGGTCCATAGGGGAGGAATGCATAGGTGAGGGCTTGGAGCCACCAGAAGGCATTCATTCACAGAGAATAGAAAAGTGCCACAGAATAAGGGGAGAGGAAGACATACATTCACAGAGGATCAAGAAAAATTGCAGAGTATGGGGAAAAGGAAACATACTTTCACAGAGGATAGAGAAATGATGTAAATGCTGGGAAAAGGGAAACGTGTTCACAGGAGATAAAGAAATGTTACAAGATATGGGGGAGAGAAAGAGGGGGCAACCACGTGGGTTTTGGACTGAAGCTGATATTCTAAAAAAAGACTGACCAATTAGTAAAGCACAGGGTCATACAATGGGAAAGGGTCCAATTAGAAGGGAGCATGAAGAAACAAAGAACTGCAAAGAACTAAATTAAGAATTTAGAGGTTTACCTATGGTCCTCTACTTATAAACTTTTTTTAGAATATATTTTATTGATTTTTTACAGAGATGAAGGGAGAGGAATAGAGAGTTAGAAACATCAATGAGAGAGAAGCATCGATCAGCTGCCTCTTGCACACCCCCTACTGGGACTGTGCCTGCAACCAAGGTACATGCCCTTGACCAGAATCGAACCTGGGACCTCTCAGTCTCTACTTATAAACTTTTTTTTTTAATATTTTATTGATTTTTTACAGAGAGGAAGGGAGAGAGATAGAGAGTTAGAAACATCAGTGAGAGAGAAACATTGATCAGCTGCCTCCTGCACATCTCCTACTGGGGATGTGCCCGCAACCCAGGTACATGCCCTCGACCAGAATCGAACCTGGGACCCTCAGTCTGCAGGCCGATGCTCTATCCATCGAGCCAAACCGGTCAGGGCAAGATTTCTATGGAATAAGAAGAATTTAGAGGTTTGCCTATGGTTCTTTACTTATAAACTTTTAAGTCTGTTGTCTATAAGCCTCATTTTACACTTGTACTTTGTGGTAATAGTGGCCTGTCAACTCATTTCATTGGAGGAATGAGTGAAAAAGATGAAGAGATTAAGAAGTACAAATTGGTTGTTATAGAATACAGGGAATATGGTCAATAATATTTTAATAGCTATGTATGGTGCCAAATGGGCGTGAAATTTATCAGGATGATCACTTAGTATGTTAAGTACTGTCTAATCAGTGTAGTATATGCCTGAAAGTAATAAAATAATGTATGTCAACTGTAATTGAAAAGAAAATTATTATGTCATCCTAAAATTAAATGGATGAAAGAATAACAACTTTTGAATTCCTGTGGAATTCTTTACTTTGATTGAGGAACAGATTAGTCCTGCTAAATTCCAGGGGTGGGGGATGGAGCAGGTGACAGAACTCTATCAGTTAACTTTAAATAATCCCACCCTGAAATATGGGTACAGGATTGAGTCATGGAGTAAATAACATTACTTGCTTATTAGAAATATAGAGGACTGTCTCCAAACAACCTCTAATATTTCCTCAGGCAGTGAATTACAATGGAAAGAAATATTACTGAACCCCCCAAAGGTCAGAGATGTACTGAGGAAAAAATCTGGATGCGCCCAGGAGGCCCATTTCCAAAGCCTACTTTCAGTAGCTCAACAGAGTAACTCAGTAGCTCTGAATTAGCTCAACAGAAAAACAAGTTACTAGCCACTTATTTGTCTTTGGAGTTATTTTTGTTTTAGTCACATTGAAAAGGAAAATGGCAGGGGGTGGGGGGGTGGGGGGGGAGGGGAGAGGGGTGTTGCAACCTGTTCAGTATCTACTTAAAACTATAGTCTTACTTCCCCACTCTGACTGACTTGGGTGGAGCTGCAGAGCCTAATCCCAGGGCCCCAATACAGCTGACTCAGTGGAGCTGTGGAGCATGTGCCCAAGAGCCCATCAAGACTGACTTGGGTGGAGCTATAGGGACCCTCAGGGGCCCAACACAGGAGGAGATATATAGGCCAGAGCCTCCCCAAGTTCAGTTCAGGCTTTGGATCTGGAATTCCCCTGGGCCAGCAGATCTGCCAAATAAAGGTTAAACTTTCCTCCCTCAGAGTGCTGGCTGATCATTCTCCCGTGCATTCTGCCATAGCAACATAAATGTTTCTTACTACTCTTGTCCCTTAAATAAGCAGAGCATTACAGTAGCAGGGGATTCCTCTCTACATAACACTGGCCATGATGCCTGCAGTCCAGCCATGACTGGCCTAAGCACAGATTTCTTTAAAAAAAAAAATATATATATATATATATATATATATTCTATTGATTCTTTACAGAGAGAAAGGGAGAGGGATAGAGAGCTAGAAACATCAATGAGAGAGAAACATCGATCAGCCGCCTCCTGCACACCCTGTACTGGGGATGCGCCCACACCAAAGCACATGCTCCTGACCCCGGAACCGAACCCGGGACCCCTCAGTCCGCAGGCCGATGCTCTATCCATCGAGCCAAACCGGTCAGGGCAAGATTTCTATGGAATAAGAAGAGTTTAGAGGTTTGCCTATGGTTCTTTACTTATAAACTTTTAAGTCTGTTGTCTATAAGCCTCATTTTACACCTGTACTTTGTGGTAATAGTGGCCTGCCAACATTAAACATGTCCAAACCTTTTATGAGTTTATGAGTTTATTTGAGCCTCACTGATGACAGTTGCCAGGAAACAAAATCTCAACATATTGAGAAAATGCTCTGGAAAAATGGGGTGTTTACAACTTACTTTATGCATCAGAATCAAAGCAGGGAACCTAAAGACATTACATGAAAATCATTGGTGATAGATTAGGGAGGTGGAAGAAAGCAAAACAGGGAAATCTTTAGGACTGGATAAAATATAAAAGGAATAGACACATACTTATTTTAAATAGGTGGGTATAGGATAGCTAACAATTAAAAATTAACAGGATAATAGTAATAATGAGGAGTTCTGTGGTCTCCTGCTCTGGTGGGAGATTGTGCCCTGAGGGGTCTAGAAAAAGGAAATTACCCTGACTTTCCAAAGGTATGTTATTGTTACGGAATTTACCAGCTGAGGGAGAAATACACAGGAGTATTGGAGGCACAGGAAAAACCCATTTATTTTCAGATGCTTCACATGTACCAGTACAGGATTCAAGGGAGACTATTTCCCTCCAAATCCTGAGCAAACCAATATGGAGGAAGCTTTCCCTTTATACCTTTTGGTTTCTTTGTCCCCCATATATGGATCATAATTCCAGACCTTTTGCGGGCTTTACAAAAAGCCCTGTGTGTTGTGGTGGGGGCCGTGAGACCACATCTAAAGGCCTGGCCTGACGCCAGGGCTGATAACTCCTTCTGGGGTTTGTGTATTGTTCATGGTTTATGGCCTCTGTAAAATGGGAGTATTTAGGTAAACCAGTCTTGCAGAACCAGATAATTAAAGAAGTAGCAGTGACTAGACTATAGGCTAACAAGAATGTACATTAAGTTATAATGATTTCAGATTGCTAACCTCCCCAAAATGTCTCATTTCAGATTGCTAGCCCCCCCCCAAAATGTCTCATTTTCCCCATCATTCTCATAGATGCAAAAAAGATAATAGACAGGCTTAGTAAAGGTAAAGAGGGACCTTTGTCAGGGAAGATACACCCTAGGACGTGACTACAGCTATGACTCACTTTTAGCTACAAAGTTTTAATTTCAGACCATCCTATGTGGTATGTTAGGTCTCTGAGTTTGTAAGGCCACTATGTAGGCCTCCCCTCAGCTTTTCAGGTTTAGTCTGTGGCCCCTTTTTCATCCACAGGCTTATGTCAAGGTTTCTTTTTAGAACGCCATCATAACAAGTTCCCTATGGACCAGGTAATTTCCAGCACTGACTACCTAAGCCTCATCCACGTTCCTCTTAATTAAAAAATGCCATTGTTTTGTTCATTAAAAAATTGAAAATTATTTTTTAAGTCCTTGATTTGTGCTCTTCTCTAAATTGAATGCAGGAAAAAAAAAACAGCACTGGTGTGGGAAGTAGAAAAAAATAGTATTTAGTAGGGCTGGGTGAGTAAGAGGAAAGTCTAAATTGTATTTACAAGAGTAACTTGACAGGCATAAAACTATTAATAAGAGCAACAATTCCCCTTCAGTCCTTTCTAGCTTTCTTGTAATGTCACAGAAAGACCCATGAAAAAATACATGAAGAAAGATGCTTTGGCTGAGATATTATCTCAGGGCAGGGCATGTCATGTTTGGAACATGTCTCTTGCAAATGTAACACAGTGATGCAAGGTGCAGCTTCAAATAAATTTGAGATTTTACAGTGCATAAAACAGATACATTGCTGATTTCCCAATGAAAAGATATTGATTTCAGGTGACACGAAAAAAGTTCCGCCAGCAGGCAGTAGGTGGAAGCTGTGGTAAAGAGTGCCCACTAGACTGGAGTGTAGCTGTTACCGACTGTTGGTGGAGGAGCACTGCCGAGTCACCTTGAGACATTGAGCCAACTTTCTGAAGGACCTGGAAAGAAATTTCCTCTGAATCCTGAAGCCCAAGTAAGTGATGAGACTGTGAATGATGTTTAGGGACAAGGTTATATACCACCTCCTTTAGCATGACCTTGGGGGTTCTTTTAGCTCAAATTCTGTAATGACTTGTCAATCTTTTCATCACAGAATAGTTATAAATGGAGATTTAGAAAGCTAACAGGCAGTGAGGTACTGAAAAAGAGAGAATCAGATTTCAAAACCTATTTTTGGAATGCTGATAATTAAAAACTAATCCTGTCTCCTCTGGGTCCTTGAAATTGTGCCACTCCCTCAATCTCTTTCTTTGAAAGTATTCAAAGAAAATGTACAGTGATGTCAATGTTTCAAACCTGATAGACACTATGGTGGGTGTCCCCAGTTACCAAGAATCCTCTTCTGAAATATGTTACAGTGATTAAAAACTTATTATTAATGTTTTCTCAAAATTATATTTTAAAAAGAAATCCTGTTTAGAAACAGATTTATTGAGGTATAATGTACACCAAATAAATAGCATACATTTAAAGTAAATAATTTATATGTGTGTGTGTGTGTGTGTGTGTGTGTGTGTGAGTGTGTGTGTGTGTGTGTGAGAGAGAGAGAGAGAGAGAGAGAGAGAGAGAGAGAGAGAGAGAGAGAAATTATCACTGTAGTCAATATAATAAACATACCCAGCACTCCCAAAAGTCCTCAGTGGATAGAGTGTCCGTCCTCATGCACATTTGTAATTGCTCCCTCCTGCCTCTTCTTCCACCTCAAGGCAACCACTGATATGCTTTCATGAAGATTATTTGCATTTTTCAGAATTGTATATAAATGAAATTATACAGTATGAACCAGGTTTTTGGTCTGACTTTTTAAAACTCAGAATAATCCTTTTTCTTGTGTGTGTGGTATACAGAGTTTCAGCATCAAACCTCTACACTATCTCTCAATTTAGATTTTGTGGGGGTGTGGCAGAGAGGGGTGAAGTAGAAAGATATAAGTGTAAGTGTGGGACTTTGCATATGCAAGGAAATCAAATTAATATTTGGACATTTCACTGCTAGATCTAGGATAGGACTCAGTGGGGGTGGGGTGGGGGGGGCAGGGAATGAGACTTGGAAAACTGGTTGGGGAGGAGAAAAAGGTTTGGACTAATACAGCTGCTAAAGGGACCAATCCTGGAGTTCAGAATAGAGAGCAACTTCTGGCCCTTTCCTTTTTTCCTTTCTCACATTCCTCCATCAGAGCCACCCATTTAGCACTTACAGATTACACCTTAAATTTTAGGTTTGCTCAGAAACATAGTGCAGGATGGGGAGAAAAATCATTGCCTTGGAGAGTAGTGGGTAGGCCATTTCCACATAAAGGATTAAACATTATCAGGCTGGACCTATTTCTAAGGCACTTATGAGAATTTACCTATGATTACAGCTACTGATAAATACGGTATATTTCAAAATTCTCAAAGGAGTGGTGCTTGACAAAGAAGAATCCTTCAGCAAACCAGTAGTAATTACAAATCATCACTTCTTTTCTAAAAATTTATTATCAGATAATATCAACATCTGATTCACCTCAGTGTTGCTCTTTCTTTGCTATTCTCATTCATGTAGTGATGGTTCTTGGTGTGTTGGATTATTTTATTGTTGTATCCTGGAAATTTTATCTATTTTGTCAGGAGACCTGGAACCATTTAAGTTTTGTATTTTAGCAATTCATCACTCTGCACACAAGTAGGTAAACTGGTTCTAGCTTACTTTTATGTGGCTCTAATGATAAAAACTTTTCAAAAACTTTGAAAATGTTAATTTTGGTGTGCTTGCTTTATCACTTGCTACTGGGGTTCCCGCTGATCTCTGCTGGAGAAAGAAAAATATTGCCTATGCTGCTGCCTACTACTTCTAAGTGAGGGGAGGGAGCCTGTGGCCTATGAATACTAAGATCCATTCCTTAGTCAGACTTGCAGTGTCAGAATCCTTCTTGCTGGTGCTACCTAGTGGTCGTAGGTGGGAAGATAGTCTCTAACCCATGGTAGGACAATATATACCAGAGCTGGTCACTTGTTGGATGGGATCCCTCTTGCCAGTTCCACCAGTTTCTCTGTGTCATGGAAGGGAACCTAAGGCCTGTGGGGAAGGAGAACACTGGGAATTTTTTATTGCCAGATCCTCATTTCCTGGAGGCATGAGGGGATGGAATGCACTTTCTGAGCACAGCACTTATGAGATTTTTCTTCCTGGTCTTCCAAAGGAATAATGCCTGGAAATTCTCAGCTCTGTAGTGTTTCTGAATGAAACAATTTTAAGCCATTTGGAACAAAGAGGCTTCACTGTCCAGATTGCTTGTTGGGGCAGGGGAGGGAGGGGAATCCCTATTGTCAGAACCTCCCCCGCCCCATCCCCACCTCTCTCTCTCTCTCTCTCTCTTCTGCACTCCATTCCTTTCTGTGCTTCTTTTGCCTCCTGAGCTTAGCTCCCTCCTGCGCCCCCGCTCCCCTGGCTCCCCATCTACCTCCAGTGCCCAGATTTCCAGCCGGGCGAGCCCAGGCTCCCTTTCACGGAGAGGGAACCTCCTTGGCATTCTCTAAGCACCCGAGAGCTTTGGACAGCCTGTCCATGAGGGTTGGAGGAGTTTGGCTGAGAGATTGTCCCTCAGGTTGGGCAGCCTAGCGGAGTGAGTGTAAAATCCTTTCCCCTTCTAGCGGGGACCCAGTCAGCCTGCGCCCTGCCAGCTCCAGGGATTGAAAGCGGGCGTTCCTGGTTAGAGGAAACTTTCCAGCTGAGCGCCTGGCTAAAGCAAACCATGCATCTGTCCTGAATGCTCCCTGGGCGCTGTTCTTGCCAGGAGCTTGCGTTCCACTGCGGTAGATGCAGCAAGGAAGCAATGATTAGTGCATCTGACAGCTAACACTGAGGACCAGTAGGAAAAACACACACTCCCCAGTCCTAGATGACGAATCTGAGTATGATGCAACCATGTGTGCCTGTAGGACAAAGAGAGAGGCTTAAGGAAATGCAAACGTTTAAGCATAGAATAAATGACACTGCCATCAAGAAAGAGCACAGTTAAGTACACTTTGGACTTTTCACAGTCAGTAAGGACACCTGTATTTTGTGCTTTATGATTCACATGACCTGATCATTTGGGTTGGGCCAATACAAATAAAAAGGCACTGTTGGTTTTGGTTGAGGTAATGAACTGAGATTTCAGATTTCTTGGTTGTTTTCTCCCAGATTCTCAAAACTCTAGGATTAGTTTTGGGAGGGATGAGAGAAGAAAATATGTAAATACTCAAGAGGATTAAAATCAGATAGCAATTGAGATTATAGCCAAGGTTTTTGAGTTGGCAAATGAATCGGTTTGAAATTGGTGAGCCTGGCCTCTGGCCAGGCCGGGTGTGGAATGCTGGCGTCCTTGCAGGCCCTACTGAGGGACCTCCCCTCCCCCTGCACAAATTTCATGCACCAGGCCTATAGTAGTTTTATAAAATATTATTGTCAAAGGAAACTAAGTAAAGGATACATAGGTTATATCTGTAATATTTATTTTTAATATCTTCATGTGAAACTATAATTATCTCAATAAAGATTTTTAAAGACTTTTTTTATTTTCTGAGAGAAAGAGAGAGAGAGAGAGAGAGAGAGAGAGAGAGAGAGAGAGAAAAAAATGGACAGGGAGAGAGAGAGAGAAAAAAAAAATCCCACATTCCCACATGCACCTCAACCATGGACCAAACCCACAACCTGGGCATGTGCCCTGACACCAGGAATAGAACCAGTGATCTTTCATTGCATGAGACAATGCTTAACTAAGTGAGCCACACTGGCCAGGGCTTTAATTAAATTTAATAGAAGTTAGGTTATAGGTAGAGTCAAATGCTTCTAGTAAATATTGCCCACATTATCTTTTTTTAAAGAAATAAGATCAGAATATTAATAGGAGAAATATACTTTTTGGAATAAAATATATAAATAATATTAAAAATAAATCCATTCTCACATTTAAGAAAAGACAGATAACTGATGCCAACACTAGGTGGCACAGATGTTGAAATTATCTGATAAGAATTTCAAAGTTGTTTTTAAGTTTTAAAAAATGCTTCTATAAGCACATATTGGTGTGCATGAAACAAATAAAAAAAGTTCCAGCAAAAAGTAGAAGACAAAAGCAATATTTTTTTAAATGACTTGAACTTTTATAATAAAAAAATCCAATAACTGAAGTAAAAATCCACTGATTATGCTCAATGAAAGAACAGAATTGACAGAAGAAAAATCAGTGGACTGCAATACAGAATAATAGTAACTACTCAATCTAAATCCCAGAGATAAAATACTATAGACTAAAAAGCTAAACAAAGCTACAGGGACCTGTGAAATAACAACAAAAAATTCAACATCATCAGGGTACCTAAAGGAGAAGAAGAAGAGAGTGGAACTGAAAATATATTCAAAGGGATAATGCCTGAAAGTCCTCAAAGTTTGACAAAAACCTTAAACCTATGGATTCTAGAAGCTGAATAAAACCAAAACATGATAATCTGAAATAAATATATATTAATACACATCAGAGTCAAACTTCTAAAGACTAAATACAAGGAAAAAAACTAGAAAGCAGATAGAGAGAAATAACATATTACCAACAGGGAAACACAGACTTGAATGACAGCACATTATGAATCATAAACCATGTTAGTCACAAGAAAAAAAATACACTTTTCAAATGCTAAAAGGAAAGAAATGCCAGCCTAGAAATCTGTACTATTAAAGAAAAAAATTCTGACACGTTAAAACGGCAAGAAAGACTTTATTCGGGACTACTGTAAAGATGTCAAAACTATTGCAACAGGGGAGAGCAATTAAATTCAACTCTGAATGTGACAAGAATAAATGAGGATTTATAGCCAAGAAGGTGGCTGAGGAACTTAGTAAATGGAAAATTTCTAAGAGGAGATATCAAGGGTAGAGAAAATTTCTGCTAAACCAACCTAACAGGATTCTCATTGAAGGCAGGGTGATAGGAAATCAGGGGTGGAGAGATGA